TTTTTTTTTTTCCAAAATAATTGAAATGTTTTATTTAAAATCCGAGATCTCACTTTCATGTTCTTAAGTAAATTTGAACTAAATTCTGAAGAATATACGACATTTTATTATTTTTGGAAATATACGAATTTTTTAATTAGTTGGTTTAAAATGATTGAGGACCTACTATATGGTATGGTCAGCTTACAATTTTTGTTTTTACAACTATTTTTGTAAGCATGTTACATACATTTTATAGAGAGACTAAAAGAAATGATGAAACGATCGAATATGGATGTAAGTTTTTGTCGAATTGACTGCAGGTGATAATTGACTGCAGATTCTTCACTTTATTTGCCGTTGCTGGAACTTTATTGGGTTCCGTACTGTGTTTCTTTGAGGTCCTTTTCTTCTCCAACTTTAAATATTCTAAAAATATGAATCTAGATCATGTAATCATGAATCCGAATTTCAATGGGTGCATACCATTTTGCGGAACTATACGTGGTAACTTTGCCTAGGGTCCAACATTTTTACCTCTATAGTAATTTTGTTAGAAATTCTTAATTTGTTAGAGGCATTGCATAGCTTACAAAAGAATTGGATATACTACAGTACGCATTCAATTAAAAAAAAAAAAAATCAAAACCAAATGCTTGTCAATTGTGCTTTAAACTAGTTAAGTACACTCATGTCTAGAGATTATTGTTTTTTTTTCTTGCTAAACAATCTAGAGATAATTGTTTCAACTAGTAACTATTTAGAATACAATGCAAAATGTCTTATACATTTCTGTCCTATTTATTAGAAGAAACATTTTCAATGATTTCATATTCTCATTCTCTTATTTTTGGTGGGGAAATGAATACATGTGTCTAGATTGAAATGAATACATCTAAAACCTATTGCATTATCTATAACCTAACACACTACTTCCATCAATCGTTTCATGCGGTTTACAGGGTTCTTGCCGTATCTTAGAATGCTACACACATTATCTTAAAGGATTGTCGCATGGAGCAAAGGGAAACACACTTCATATTCTAATCGAAGCCTTAGGTACTGCCCTGATGTCGACTCTTCCAATGGTGTACATAGACCATTTTCTTCTTATAATCTCTTAAACTGCTTGCAGATATGTTCTTGTTCGGAACGTCAATGCTAGTTCTAGGAATGGCTTTTCATAACATGTTTGTGAGATGTAGAACCGACCAAAGTAATCAACCAACACGTGGCATTCGCACGATTGGTGAAGCAAAGACGAGAATTGGGTATGCAGTGGTAATGATACTTCATGTTGGGATGGTCGAGAAGTTCAAGACGACTCCATTGGTGACATGTGTTGACCTCGCATGCTTTGCTGCATCACTCTTTGTTTCTTCGGCTTCCATGTTCATATTCTCCAAATTGTCTTCCCTTTAGGATTAGCTAAGAGATCAAAACTAGGTATAGTTTATCTTAATCACCACGGCAAAATCA